CAGCTTGAATTAGAACATGAACTCAATTAAAACAATAAGAAATGGAAGATGAATTTAAATTAAAACAATTGGAAAAAGAAGAAAGACTGGCAGAACTTGAAATGAAGAAAAGGTTAGAGATGGAGAAAAGAAAAGAAAAAGAAGATGAATTTAAATTAAAACAGGCAGAACTTGAAATGAGGGAAAGGTTAGAGATGGAGAAAATAAAAATTGAAATGGTCAAAGAAGAAAGCAACACTAAAGTACAGCCAAAATCAGAAACATTTTGATGCCGCAAAAAATATACGTTTGGTTCCCAGATAATGTGAAAAAAACAGTTGATAAATATTTTCCACAGTTTTAGAAAATTGTTCAAAATTTGAAATGGCCAAAGCCTTATTGGACAACAATGCTGCAAAGTGTTTTTGAGGGCAAGGCCGCTGAATTTTACGCAGCACTTTCATCCGAAAGAAGTTCTGATTATGACACCTGTAAAACAGGAAGTTTTGAAAGCTAGTGCCAGAAGCATATAGACAGAAATTTAGGTCTTATAAAAAGTTTGATTCACAAACCTATGTTGAATTTGCTAGGGTAAAAGAAGATCTATTTGATAAATGGCTTACGTCAAAGAAAATAGATAAAAATTTTGATAACTTAAGACAATTGATGTTATTAGAAGAGTTCAAGCAGTGTGTTCATTTAGACTTAAAACACATTTAGACGACAAAACTGTTGAGACATTACAAGAGACATATCAAGATGTTATTTCCGATAATTATACCCTTTCACATAAAAGAAGCTTGTACGACACCCCTTGTTACCAATAAGTTGGAATGTCCTGCGAGTCAGGCTTGTAAGTCCAGTTTTTGTGATTACATAGAGGATTATAAACCCTTTATGTCTGATAGGTTTGTTTTCTATTGTTGATAATACTACTCCTCAGCCTATTAAGATTTTACGGGACACTGGAGCTTCTCAGACTTTAATGTTAGAAGGTGTGTTGCCTTTGTCCGAGGAGTCTTTTGTTGGTGCTTTCGTTTTTTTTACTAGGTGTGGAGTTAGGTTGTATAGATGTTATCTGAAGTCAGATTTGATAACTGGACCAGTTGTTGTGGGTGTTCGTCCTAATATCCTTGTTGAGGGTGTTATTGCTAGTAAATGATCTAGCTAGGAACAAAGTGGTTGCTGAACCAATTGTTACCAGTGAACCGGTTGTGGATGTTAAATCACCGGAAAATGATGCTGAACTGTATCCAGCTTGTGTTGTTACTAGGGCGATGGTATGAAAACAACAAAATGAGGATTTGCAAGAAGACCAGTTTGATTACATGGACCTTTCTGACACTTTTCTTGTAGACATTAAAGGTTCCGGTAGCTCAGAGAAGGCCATAGTAAGACCACCTAGTACTAACAAGAATGAAATTATGCCATGGTCAGACGTGAACAGCCATTCATTAAACCGAAGAAAAATTGTTGAAGAGCAAAATAAAGACCCTGAGGTTCTTCAGCTCCGCAAGAGGGCTCAACCTCAGGAGGAAGCAGACAAAGTGGCCGAATGTTACTATCATCAAGACGGCATTTTAATGAGGAAGTGGAGGCCCCTGATGCTATCCCAGAGGAGGAATGAATGGAGAGTAGTATACCAAGTGGTGGTGCCTAAAGACTAAAGGCAAGAAATTATTGGTCTTGCCCATGACAACCCCTTGGCTGGACATTTAGGTATACGGAAGACATGCCTTAAAATCTTGCAGCATTTCTACTGGCCCAGACTTAGAAATGATGTCACAGAATACTGCAAATCATGCCATATATATGCCAGGTTGTTGGTAAGCCTAACAAGAAAATACCACCAGCACCACTTCTACCAACTCTAGCCTTTGAAGAACCTTTCAGCCGAGTACTCATTGATTGTGTTGGACCTTTACCAAAGACCAAGACTGGAAATGCGTATTTATTGACGATCATGTGTACATCCACTTGCTTTCCTGAGGCTATTCCGTTAAGGAATATCAAGACACCAACTATTGTCAAAGCTCTTATCAATTTTTTCACGTTAGTAGGACTTCCTAAGTCTATACAGTCCGACCAGGGTTCAAACTTCATGTCAGGTTTATTTCAGCAAGTCGTTTACCAGTTAGGGATTGCTCAGTACAGATCAAGTGCTTACCATCCAGAATCTCAAGGTGCCTTAGAACGTTTTCATCAAACATTGAAGAACATGATTATAACTTTCTGTCTTCAATTTGACAGGGACTGGGATGATGGTGTTCACTTTTTACTTTTCGCGGTCCGAGAGGCTGTTCAAGAATCCCTTGGTTTTAGTCCCTTTGAGTTGGTGTTTGGTCATACTGTAAGTGGACCTTTAGAATTAGTTAAGAAAAAATGGCTTACTGAACACACTGACTTGAATCTTTTAGACTATGTATCTAGATTTAAAGAAAAATTGTATACTGCTTGTCAAATTGCTCATAAAAACTTAAAAACTGTTCAGAATAAGATGAAAATATGGTAGAATAAAGATGCCAGGGACAGAGTTTTGAGCCTGGTGATAAGGTACTTGTATTTTTGCCAGTCCCTGACATCCTTTACAGGCTAAATATTGTGGTCCTTATACAATAGAGAGTAAAATCAATGATTTGAATTATATAGAAAAAAACACCAGGTCGGCGTAAACAAAATAGTGTGTGTCATATTAATATGTTAAAACAATATTTTGAGCGTACTAATGAAGGTGAGAGTAAACCAGTTGCCACTTTAGCTATGGTTAAATTGGAGAACAATCATGAAAAACCAGATATAATTGAACCACCTTTTAATTCAAAGACTATGGAACAAACAGTAAGATTGAAAAATTCAGAAATTTTGTCAAATTTAGACTCAAAACTTGCACATCTGACTTTTGACCGTAGAGAAACATTGAAAACTTTGGTATTTTCTTTTAAAAATCTTTTTCCAGATGTGCCAAACAAAACCACTACTGTTTGTCATGATGTCGATGTAGGTGATGATTCTTCGATTAAGCAACATTCTTACCGGCTCAATCCACTCAAACTTGAATTTATGAGACAAGAAATTATATATACTAAAGGATATTATTGGGCCGAGTAACAGTGAATGGAGCTCTCCTTGTCTCCTTGTGCCCAAACCAGATAAAACCTTGCGCTTCGTAACTGATTTCAGAAAAGTAAATTCAGTTTCAAAAATCTGATTCCTATCCGATTCCAATGATAGACGACTGCATTGATAACATTGGACAAGCAAAATTTGTGAGCAAATTTGATGTATTGAAAGGTTACTGGCAGGTACTATTGACACAGAGAGCTCGTGAAATATCAGCTTTTGTCACACCAGACGGCTTATTTCAATATACTGTCATGCCGTTTGGTATGAAAAGTGCTCCAGCTACATTTCAAAGAATGATCAATAATGTTATAAAAGATTTAGACTGTTGTTATGCTTACTGTTGTTATGCTTATATTGATGATCTCATTGTATGTAGTGATAGCTGGGAAGAGCATTTAACACATTTATATGATTTTTTTTGAAAGATTTTCACAATCAAATTTGGACTGTAAATCTTGGTAAAAGTGAATTTTGTCAGGCCACTGTTGATTATTTAGTTGACATACAGTTGGCCAAGGTCAAGTGAAACCTATTATGGCTAAAGTGGATGCAATTGCCAAATTTCCTCCTCCTACAAATAAAAAACAACTTATGAGATATTTAGGCATGATTGGATTTTACAGAAAATTTTGTTCAAATTTTGCTACTGTTGTTCAACCATTGACTCATCTTTTACGGAATGATTCTAAATTCATCTGGAGTGATAAAATAGCAAATCACTTTTAATTAATAGTCCAGTTCTGATCACTCCAAACTTTGCAAAACAATAATCTGTCGTAGAGTTGTCACTGGTTCAGACGTACTTATAATATAATTATTTCTGTGACTGCATCCTACATTAATTTGTAAGATCCTCTACGATAGATAATGCAGCTGACCTGTAATATTCCATCTTCATGCCTTATATATCATGTACTGTGTTACGACGCTAGATAAAAACTGACGAGGAAAGGTAACACTCAGCCACCAAAAGCTTGATTTTTGTCGAGCCTAGGTGGTCGTGTGGTCTAGCGCGTCGGGCATAGTGCAAGGCGATTTGGTGCCACGATATCTCAGTAGCATAGGCCAGGGAAAAACAAAACATTGTTGGGCTGTTATTTAGACGAATTATGTATACAGAATGTGTTTTCAGCCTTGTATCACCATCACTGGTTCAAACGTACTTATATATATATATATATATATATATTGAAGTATATTATAACTACAAGACAGAGTGCTCCATTGGGTAACCTATGATAGTTATACAGGGCTTACACTATTACTAGTATCTACCGTATATGTTTAAAACTACAATTAAATTAAACATGAAAAAACTTCATTATTTTTTTTTCAGGTTTGATATGTTTTACATTGGATAGTGTGTTTGGAAAAAACATAATTAGGAGAGGTATGTTGACAACCAGGGCAGGCTGAAACATGCATTTTTGTGTTTTTTTCGATTATTATTCATATGATTATTCAGAATTATTATCTAGTTTAAAACAAATTAATACAAAAATACTAAATATTGAAATTAATTTGATGCATGATATACGGATATCGAAAATGTGTATTCAGTTGTCATCGTTGGTGCTCGACATTTAAGATACCAAAGCCAAGACCAAAACTATTTTGATGTAATAATGTAATAAAACCATATTTGTTCATAATCTCTTTTGAAACGAAATCATTCTGAAAAATGTTGTGATGGATCTTATTTGTAGTACGGTTGTTCGTCCCTGATTTGATAATTGATATATTTTGAGCTTTTGATTTTGCCATTAGATAAAGGACTTTCCGTTTCGAATTTTCATTGGAGTTCGGTATTTTTGTTATTTTACTATTTTTTTTAGATTCAAATGAGACAAACAGCTCAGTGGTTGACGGTATAACCTGTTTTGTTTGTGGATTAGATGACGGCAGTCCAGCTAAACAGTTATCAGATTGCACTGATATACAAAAATGCCAGCCTGGTGAAGTAAGGTTTTATATATTACTCTAATACTTAGATTTTGCGTGTGTTTTAACTGTTTAAAGTTTGAAATTTTTCACTTTTTGCATACTAGTAGTATTTGAATGGTACATCGGAAAGACTGATTTATGTGAAAGAATACACATATTCTGGATCTGAACATATAAAACAACAAATTCAAATAGATATGGACTATAATAGGCGTGGCAAATAAATTTTTTATGAAAATGAAGGATTCTTATATCTGTATTTTATCAGCCAGAAACCATATCCCTGGTTTGTTCGTTAAAACCCTAAAAATAAGTTCACAGAAAAGCAGGGTTTAATGCATGATAACATAGAATCACGATGGTGGTGTCCGGAAACTTCCCGAGATCAACATCTTTCAAATTATTGACTTGCTACATGAACACACACAAATAAAGACCGTGTATTTGCGTGTAATCGTTCTGCTTGTACAGTGTCATTGGATGCGACCAATTTCAATGCGCACGTGTTACTGTAACCTCCATCAGGTACGCTACATACCAACTGCATAAATCTTATGAATCAACTTTATTCTTGAAAGCTGACAGACAAAATGTATCATTTAAATCGTGCACTACAAAATTCTTCAACATGTAAATCGCTATCGAAAAGAGTGTTCTATTATATGTTACAAATGCAAATCTTTTTTTTTTCAAATGAACCCCCGATTTTTGGTTTGGTTTGTGTTGCTTAATCTTTAGTCTTTTGCGTAGTTTTTTCTGGACTGTTGTTTCTCCGTTTGTCTTTTTATTTCGGTATGCACTATTTGACCACCCCTCGGTATCGTTTCACTCTTTTTTCACTTCTTTTTCAATATTTTGGGGTATAGAAATTACCTTGTTGATCGCAAATTACGCACAAATGCAGGTGTGTATAAAAATTTCGGATAACGATGGCACTTGTTACCTCAGCATATCATAAATATGAAATGAAACTTCATTTGTGTCATAGAAAGGTCTAGGCAATTGTATAAATCCAAAAGGTACAGGTCTATATATATACTAATGTTAGCACAATATGACAACTTTTAAAGCAAGTTTATAAAAATACAGATATATGTATAAGTTAAACAAAGACTACTACTGACTGACTGAATATTTGACATTAATACCAAATTCCCTTAACGACAAAACACTAAGATACAACAAAAGTCAACCAATAATGATATCCTGGCTTGAGTCATGATGATACGTGTGGCCGGATTGAATTATTTTACAAGTATACAGATCTCAACCGTTCCCCTTTAAACCATGTTCAGAGTTATATCAGTGATACGTCCGGTCTGTGTTTTTGTTAGATGTTTTCTGCTTTGTGTCGATCTGATAAGTTAGGCCCTTTTCAACTGATTCTTATAGTTTGTTCTTATGTTGTACTGTGACACCACTGTCCCAAGTTAGGGGAAGGGTTTGGCGCCAGCAAAACTAGTTTAACCCCGCCATATTCTGTATGTGCCTGTCCCAAGTCAGGAGACCGTAATTCAGTAGTTTTCGTTTGTTGCTGTTTACTGTAAACCGGGAAATTTTCGCGCCGTCTTTATTTCGCGATTTATGAACACAATCTAAATTCGCGCCGTTTTGAATTCGCAATTTCCCTGTGGCCTATATACATATTTTCATAAATGATTTAGAAAGTGAACAGCTTTACATGTTTTGTAAATCAAGTGATAAATCAATCAAAAATCATGTGTTTTCGGTTCATTAATGTTAAAGGAGATTAAAAGTTGTGTCATGTTTGCTTGTAAAAACACTTAGCACATACTTACAACTTCTCGTCCAATCAAATTGCTTATATTTGCCTTCTAATTTTCATAGTACATACTTTTCCTGTGTACTAAGTAACTACGCATGAAGGACCACAAGGGTAAGATTTCATTGTATCGTAATCAAGATATTTAAAACAAAAATTGCCACTGGCTATTTTGAAATAAAATGCTGTGTTCCAAATTAAATTAAATAGTTTGTAATTAGTTTTCACATTGATTTTTAAATATCCTGCTATTAAAATCTTTGGATCTAAAAAATGTTTTTGACAATTGCAAATTTTATCATTTAAATAAAGGGTAATACATATGGTTCTTTATACCTTGATTAGAGTACAACGATATCTTAAAATTATGATAATGTATCATCCATGCAATTACTTTGTACACATAAAAGTGTGTACTATGAAACCTTGTGAAGGAAAATTTAAGCAACTTGGTGGTAAATTTTTAAACTTTCTTAAGGAAAGTAATCTATTTCGTCATGAATTGATTGATTTGTTGATTATTGGTTGCTTAGTGTCCAGTGGCAAATATTTCACGCATGTTCAGGACGATGTCATGAATTGAAAAACTTTGATTATGTCTGAAGATAATGTGCCACCTATATATATATATATATAAACATATTCTGATAAATCTTTTAGTTTTTACTTTGAACTAATAAAAAAAAAACACAAAACCTATAATCTCTGATCTATTTGTAGTTGCTTTTTAATGCCTATCTGCTAGACTATATCTTTGGGGACAAACTATCTATATGTTTCAAATTTATTATAGCTTTAGTTTTACTGTGAAATTAAAAAATGTTTTCAAAACATGTAAAGTTTCCACTGCAATTTAATTATTGCCTGCTTTTGGTCAATTTATTTTGTCATCTTACCTTGTAAGAAGAACATGTATAGTAAAACACTGCTTTATATCAGTATACATACTTACACCAGCTGCTACTATCTTTTCATTCTGGAGTGAAGGGCCTTTTGAAATCACATATTTTACAATGATACTAGTGAGTAGATTTACAAAATTCGTTAATGAGCTCCGTTTTACAAACAAGTAGTCAGCCAAAATAAACTATCAATAGACCAATTAAAAGATTACTCGAGTTGTAAATATGTGCTAAATTGGATAGTCTATGGAAAGGTATATACTATGAAATTAAGAGCTCGGGGCAAGCCCCTCGCTCTAAATTTCATAGTATATACCTTTCCATAGACTAACCTAGACATACACAATTATAACAGAAAAGAAGACCTAATTAAGAGTGAATTAAAATAAAATGCTGTCGGGATTAATGCTAATGAATCGATCTTTTGATCTGATTAATCTGTGTAGCAGATTCAACGAGGTAATACTTTTAAAAATGATTGACAGGTTTCATTTACCTATTTGTAACGAGTGTTGTTTACATAACAATATCCGTAATGTCCGCTTGCTTGAGATGTCGTCCATGTTAATAAAATAAACCTGAGTTTTAGTCATGATTTCTAGCATTGCTTTTCATTTAGAAATACACTCATGATTTGAGTTATCGATCTGTCGTCTGTAAAATCCGTGTCATACGGTTGTCCTCTACATATCCTATGCATGGTTTTCATCTTATGAATAGAGTTTTCTTGAAATTTTCGCGGTCGTTTTATTTTCGCGTTTCAATTCTTACCGCGAAAATAGCGAAAATAAAACTGCCGCGAAAATTTCCCTGTTAACAGTATCATATTTTTTTTCGTTCATTGTTTTGTACATAAATCAGGCCTTTAGTTTTCTCGTTTGAATTGTTTTACATTTGTCATTTCGGGGCATATTATAGCTGATTATATATGCGGTATGGGTTTTGCTCATTGTTGAAGGCCGTACGGTGACCTATAGTTGTTAACTTCTATGTCATTTGGTCTCTGGTGGAGAGTTGTGTCATTGGCAATCATACCACATCTTCTTATTTTTATATAGTCTATATATATTGGGACATACAATTAAAATGAATTAAGGAAAAACAACCGGTAAAAATGTTAACAAAATCAACAATTATCTGTTCCTTGTCAAAGAATTCTCGCAGTTACAGAAAGCAAGTATATGTAGACGATATATTTTCTACAGATTTTTCTAATATACAAATGAAAATTATCATCCTCAACTCACTCTTTCTTATCTGCTGGTTTCATATGCGCTTGATTGCAGTGACGTAAAAAATTCAATTGACGTAATATTTTCATTACTTAGACATTTTTGTCATTTTAAGCAAGGGTATAGATATATACGAAAGCCTATTAGGGTCACAAAAAAAATATTTTTATCTCGTAATTACGCGATAATTATCTCGTAATTACGAGATAAAAAATGATTATCTCGTAATTACGCGATAGTTTTCTCGTAATTACGCGATAGTTTTCTCGTAATTACGCGATAATGATCTCGTAATTACGAGATAAATATTTTTTTTTGTGACCCTAATAGGCTTTCGTAGATATAAGTTTGTAACAAAACAAAAAAAGTTTGTAACACATTATTAATGTACATTTTCAGTTCTGCTATTTAGAACATATTTATGATATCGGGAAGAACACAGATTACTATATAGGAGGATGTCGTGCTTCCGAGGTAAGTCGTTTCATAATAAGCAATCTTTAATGCGTAACATACTGTATTGATACAATTGATACAATGCGTATTGTTCTACTAAGAGAATGTTGTTGTTTTTTTTAGATAGATATAAATATAAATCTATTGCATTAAATATTTTTTTATCACTAAAGGATGTTTTAAAAAAATCAATCTTAATGTCTTTTGAGATCTCGTGAATGCAGTTGTTCACGTTTCAAACTGGCAAGGAAAATTATCACTGATGACATAAGCAACACAAGCACTTGTCTCTGAAAAAAAAAGTTATCTATATACATCGAAGGTATATGGGTTTATTTTTTTTTCAATGAACAGTTGCCTGTGATAAGCAACAACAAACAACCCATGAATATGCTAAAAGGCTACAATATGGCATACCGCAGCCCCATCATCTGAAAAGGGATGTACAGGTTGTTGATTGATATGTCATAAAAAAAGTAAAATAACAAAAATACCGAACTCCAAGGGAAATTCAAAACGGAAAGTCCTTAATAAAATTGCAAAATCAAAAGCTCAAACACGTCAAACGAATGGAAAACAACTGTCATATTCTTGACTCTCACTTGTATGACAGTCGCATAGAGTTCCATTATACTGACAAAAACAAATAACTATTCCAACAAAGAAAAACAAAATGGCATATAGACACTCTATAAACAAAGTACATGCAGGTGAAGTTGGTATATTGCTGCTAAGGTGGGGGGAATTTATAATTTCAAAATTAAAATCGTCTCATTTGTCAGATTCTGGTACTGAGATGACCGCTTATGTCAAATTCGAGGTATAAGTCTGAAAATGAGGCAGAGGAAGCCGTGTCTGATGTTTCTTTAATTTCTAGTTCTGGAGGATAGAATTTGCGAAAAGTATAAGGCAAAAACAAGACACTTAGTCAGAATGAGAATAGGTTAATCACAGTTCAAAGACAAATCATTAAGTTGCAAGATTTGTTTCATTTATATTTAGTAATCAGGTGGTTGTTGATGCTTTCAGCTCCTTTTATGTTAAAAAAAGGTTATTATTCTAGCTGATAAAGCATCAAATGAGATTGTCTTCATTTCATTTTTTTTTTTTAATTTTCGGCTAAAGGATATAGAATTAACAATACGTCTGGCAATACCACTAGTACAACTTATAACAGCTTTGTCATAAATCAAAAAGGGGAAAAAAGGTTGTCAAATGTGTCATAAATTTTTTAATGATGATTTTAATAATAAAGTCTAAAAAAAGGTCAGCAATCACCTTTTAAGTTGGACTGGGCGGATGATTTTATCGGTGTATTTAGGAAAATTTGTATTATGTAGAGAACAAATGTAGTTTAAACAGTGGCAAGCACTGTTAAACATATGTGTTTCGCAGGGTATTTTTTTACATTCAGTCGTAAAATGAGATGCATAACCAAATCTGCGATACAAGGAGCGTAGTAAATCGTCATAAGAATTTCAATCAATTGTTAGTATTTTGTATCCCCAACACGAAAATGAACAAATAAACATTCATATGTCGGGCTTTTATAGCCGACTATACAGTATGGGGTTTTCTCATTGTTGAAGGCCGTCCGGTTGCCTATAATTGCTCACATCCACTTCATTTGAACGTTGGATGATAGTTGTCTCATTGGCAATCATACCACATCTCCTTATTTTTAAACCAAATTTAAATATCAAACCAAATTCCGATACTGTCTTGGTTTGGTTTTTCTTTTTTGCATTTCAAAAACATATGACAGTAGAATATTTATATTAACTATTTCCGAAAGATCATTTACTTAATAAACAATATTTCTGTTTGATAAGATGATACGTCAATGTCGTTAACTAGGTACAGAAAGTTTAACAATCAACGGAGACCACATTAAAGGAACGTAATATCTCCTCAACTTTAGTATTTTGTTTTGAATTATTTATAATGCTGTTAGTAGAAGCATTGTGCCTAATCGAGTATCGGTAAAAAAAAAAGTACATTTACAAAGTAAATCAGAAGGAGGGAATCTAGCAATAACGGTATCCGTATCATTCTACGACAGCTCTAGAACGGTCAATGTCAACAATTCCAGTTACTGCACCAAACAAAAGTTTTGTTTTGACGCGGTTCAAACATTAATTTCATCAAAAGTTGGAGCATCGGACCTTTCCCCTAACAATTCTTTGGAGTATTGGACATTTTTAATATTAGAACGCCGTCGAATTTACATGTTATTTAGTCTGAGAAACTTTGGATGAGGACAACAATGTTTCTGTTAACAAGGGGTAATACATTTAAATATAAGATTTCCCGAATTGAAGGCGGTGTGAATTTTATGATGACTATGTTAAACTTGATCCTTGATTTAGTTTTCTATGTTGTGTTGTATGCACTGCTGTTTGTCTGTTTGATTGTTGGTCTTTTACTTTTTTAGCCATGGCGTTGTCAGTTTTATTTTCGACTTATGAGTTTGAATGTCCCTTTGGTATCTGTTGCCTCTCTTTTACATGTGTATGGTCGTTTTAGATTTTTATTTTTGCAACACCTATTTTTTTCTCACTTTTTTTCTAGCATTTCATTAATCGTCTGATGAATAGTTTTTTTTCATTGTTTTTTTCTATTGTAATTCATATATTGTCAGATAAATGTTTCTTTAAATTTCAACAGTAAAAAAAACAAAGTAAACATTTTTACATAGCTACATTGTAAACATATATGTTAATGGTAGAATTCAACTTCCCGAGTGAATATATATATACATGTAGAATAATAGCATTTTTGTTGTTGATACCGACTTTATTATCAATAATATCAAACGAGCAGATAAAGTCAGTATCAATAAATAAAATGTCATTATTCTTTTTTTTATTAACAATATGTTTTTGTTCGGAGTATGTATAAAATGAAACAATTAGTAAATCTATTTTTACGCGTACAAAAGGTTTTGAAGTTGTTCGGTTGTATGAATGGAGTCGCGTGCATTTCATTGATGAATCCGGCGACGCGAGTGAACATGAATGTGTGACGTTGCTGCACTGAAACGTAACGTCATTGCTTAATATAATATATAGAATAATGGCTTTTTTGTTTTTTATACGGACTTTATCAGCAAGAATATCAAGCAAGCTGATATTCGAGCTGATGATGTCAATATCAAAATATAAAATGCCATTATTCTTTTTATCGGCAATTTGTCTGAACCGTTTTTGTTTTTTTTGGTTGAGAATATGAAGTAAAATGAAATAATAAGTAAAACTACTTTTACGCGTACAAAACATTGGGATAGTTGTTCGATTGTATAAATGAAGTCGCGTGCACTTCATTGATAAATTCAATTGAGCGGACAGACATGAACACGCCACGTTGCTGCACTGTTACATGACGTCATTGCCGGATATTTTCGAGTATCAAGTCCTGTACTGGATCTTCAAAATATTAGGCAGTAAGATCAAAGGGAAATGTACACATTGCCGATAATAGAAAATAATTAGACAATGACGTCACGTAATGTTCAGTGCAGCGATGTCACGCGTTCATGTCCATCCGCAATAATTCATAAATAAAATGCACGCGACTTCATTCATAGTACAACCGAAAAATTATCACAAAGTTTCGTACTCGGGCTCGCTTCATATTCTTGCTGATAAAGTCAGTATCAAAATCAAAAAATGCCATTTTTCTACATGTATCAAGTCCTGGCCATGATATACAAAAAAAAATATGCAGTAAGATCATAGGGAAAATGTACAAATTGCCGATAATTTCGAGTATCAGGTCCTGTCCATGATTTAGAAAAATATTAGGCAGTAAGATCAAAAGAAAAATGTACAAATTGCCGATGATAAAGTTTATGCTATCTTAAATAGCAGATAAGATTACAGGGACAGCTCGAAGGTCCGTCGAAATGGGGCGTTATTGTAAAAAACTGGAAAAATACCTCAATTTTATTTACGATTTTAAGCAAACAATTACAATTTTCCTATCAAAAGGGGGCGTACGCCCTCTTCCCATCCCCTAAATCTGACACTGGCCTATGGAGAAGAGACCAGAGTATTATCAAGAAAAATCACAATCGTCTACTCAAATTCTTTTAGATGAAAGATCAGAATGCTATTGGGAATTAAACTTAAAACCATCCTTTACTATAAATGGAAGAACATGTCATGAGGTTGTGCCAGTAGTATATTTAATAAATATCTAGGTAGATAAAACACACAATCAAAGGAATAGTTTATTGTTATATTAATAATTTCATGATAGTCCTGTCTCTTTTGATATTTGTTCTTCCAGACCTGTCATCTGCAGACTTGCCTAAAAGATCAATACAGTAGGAGAGAAGAGCACACAAAACTTGTACACTGCTCAGAGTGTTGTTCGTCGTCGTATTGTAATGGAAAACTATGCAACTGTAAGCAGTGAAGTTTCATGGTAAAATATCGTAGATCTTTATTAAGTTCATTCGAACGGAGGAGAATTTTCATTTTTAATACCAATGGAAATAATTTTTGTTTGATTATTTATGATATACATGGAGCTGAGAAATAGAAAGGGAAATCAGACAAGCCTTAAAAAAGATCTTCTTTTAAATGGACGACCGCGAAGACTTATAAAACTATTCTTTATTTTATACATATGTAATGCTCTCAAAAACATTAATCGGTCAACATGTAAAGACTTTGATTACAGTATAACGAAAATGAAGCAATGATACTAGGTTTTGATATAAAAAAAAAAACCCAATAAAATGTCATTTTGATTTTAACCAAATTTGACAGGATTAATATTTTCCTTGGTTTTTTTTCAAGTACTTTTGAATTTAATTTTTTGAAATCCTTTCTTAATAACCTGGAACGATGTGATGAAAGCCACATATTGTGAATGCCTGTAATCTTCCCAAGTTATTTTATGAGATGGCTTTATAGTCCGCCTATCAATCTTTGGATGAAAAAAACGAAGCCATAGAGACCAAAGGACAAAGATGTGAACAGTTACAGGTTATCGTACAGACTTCAACAAGTATCAAAACCAATACCGTATAGTCAGCAATAAAAGGCCCCGCTATGACAAATTTGAAATTTGATACAATCCAAAAGAGAAAACCAACGGCATAATTTATATTACAACAAAAAACGAAATACAATCATGACAGACAGCAGCCAACAATAACCACTGCATTAAAGATGTGGCTTAGGACAGGCGCATAAAGTTAAGGCGGAGTTAAACATGTGTGTTACCAATCAATAAACTTAAACTTATTCTTTCATAGATAAAATGATTTGGTTTGGAAGTTCCACTGTAAATGTAGGAAATTTATTACAAACAGGATATCGCATCCTCGTTGTAACGGTGATGTTGTTTATAAAGCCCGTACATTAAAATACGATCCATGCAAACGTGTCGATCCTTTGAATAAACGTATTATAAACGGTTATCAATTTAACACTGTAATAAGATCTTTAAATAATGATTTTTTATCGGTACAAGATATCAAAGGGAAATTCAATCTCATAAGTCAAAAATAAACTGACAACGCCATGGCTAAAAAACACCAACAGACAAACAACAGTACACAAAACACAACATAGAAAACTAAAGACTGAGCAACATGAACCCCGGGTGATCTCAGGTGCTCCGGAAGGGTAAGCAGATCCCCTATTGAATTTGTTATTAATAAATTAAAACATAACTAATATATATTCTAGTACAATTGTAAACACTTATTATAAAAAAGAAGATGTGGTATGCTCGCCAATGAGACAACTCTCCACAAGAGACCACATGACACAGAAATTACCAGCTATAGGTCACCGTACGGCCTTCAACAATGAGCAAAGTCCATACTGCATAGTCAGCTATAAAAGGCCCCGAAATCACAAATGTAAAACAAATCAATTGAGAAAACTAACGGCCTAATTAATGTACAAAAAAATGAACGAAAAACAAATATGTAACACAGCAACAAACGACAACCAATGAATTATAGGCTCCTGACTTGGGACAGGCACATACATACAGAATGTAGCGGGGTTAAACATGTTAGCGGGATCCCAACCTTCCCCCTAACCTGGGACAGTAGTGTAACAGTACAACATAAGAATGAACTATAAAAATCAGTTGAAAAAGGCTTAACTCATCAGATGGATACAAATAGAAATACATATAACAATAACACGTGGACGTGACCGGGTACTTGTACATCCCAACAACAAAAAGACACTAAGTACATATCTGAAAGTACTCGCAGTTACTGACAGCTAGTTCAAAGCTAATAACAACTAATATAAAACATCATGCATCTAAGACTAAATTATCAATTAGTACACATCCAACATCCAACGGATTAAGTGTAAAGACGTCATAAACAGTCAGAGAAAAACATGACCTTGTGCAACGTTGTAACGGTGATGTTGTTTATAAAGCCCGTACATTAAAATACGATCCATGCAAACGTGTCGATCCTTTGAATAAACGTATTATAAACGGTTATCAATTTAACACTGTAATAAGATCTTTAAATAATGATTTTTTATCGGTACAAGATATCAAAGGGAAATTCAATCTCATAAGTCAAAAATAAACTGACAACGCCATGGCTAAAAAACACCAACAGACATAAACTAATATAAAACATCATGCATCTAAGACTAAATTATCAATCAGTACACATCCAACATCCAACGGATTTAGTGTAAAGACGTCATAAACAGTCAGAGAAAAACATGACCTTGTGCAATGCCAAGATACAGGAGTCGACAGATTGTAGATCCATGAAAGTGCATATGTATATAACAATAATATTTAGTTTGCTTTTAATTTACTGATAACAAAATCAATATTAATACCAATAAAAACAATATTCAAAGATCTAATGACAGTGTTGAAGTGGTAACCTTTTAAAATAAGTTTATTTAAAGGATCGATAAGTTTATTTAAAGGAAAAATTCCGGCCACGGTAAACGAAATCTCCGTAAAAATGAGGATGTACTATCCCGTTTGAAATAAGTTTTCTACAGGTACAACCGAAATTCAAAACCAAATCTGTATATCAATGGAAGAATTTAGTAAAAGTTTTAAGTAATTTGTGGTAACGAAATCCCTGACTTAATAATTTATCAGTAATACATAGATTACGTTCGTTAAAATCTAAAATGTCACAACAGACACGGGCATAGCGAACGAGTTGTGAAATATAAACACCATAAGATGGTGCCAAAGGAACATCCCCATCCAAAAAAGGAAAATTAACAATAGGGAACGAAAAATCGTCCCTTTTGTCTTAAATTTTAGTGTGGGGTTTCCCGTGTGAAACTGAAATATCTAAATCTGGGAAAGGACAGTTATTAGCGTTTACGTTTGATTTATTTAAAGTAAGTTCCTTTGGGTAAATTTCGGAAGTATATTTAGAAAATTCTTGATTATTTAACGAAAAAATACCATCAAGATAATGGTAAGTATTGTTGAATTTATCAATTAAATGCAATTTAGACGGGTCTTTACTGAGTTTGGTCATAAGGTCATCCATCCTGGCGATATTTATATATTGACATTGTACAAGGTCATCTTTTTCTCAGATTGTTTATGACGTCTTTACATGCACTAAATACATTTGGTGTGTACGAATTGATAATTTAATTCGAGAAACATGATGTGTTAATTACTAGTAGCTGTAATTGACTTTTACCTAGATTTCAATTTCAGAAACCGTGAGTACTGTTTGAACAGTACATTGTGTCTTTAGTCTCTTTGTTAGATTTTTTATTGCTTTGGGTCGATTTAATGAGTCAAGCATTTTTCAACTGGTTTTTTTACAGTTTTTTCTTATGTTGTGCTATTACACCACAGTCCCAGGTTAGGTGGATATTTGAGCGCTCGCAAACATGTTTAACCCCGCCACATTCTGTATGTATCTGTCCTTGAATTTTTTATTTCACTTTGTCATGTAGGGCCTTTTTATAGAGCTTACTAAACGGTAAGGGTTCTGCTCGTAGAGTAAGGCCGAAATGTGACCTACAGTTGCTTACAGCTACAACTGTCTCATTGACAATCATACTACATCTTCTTATTTTTAAAATGTGAGCTTGCTAAACCTTCACCCTAACATGGGAGAGTAACAAAACAGCATTAGGACTAACTGTAAAATCAGTAGGATATAGATTGAATCTTCTGGTCGGTAAAAGACAGCAACACAAAAGACACATTTTAAGAGTACTCTCATGTATTGTAAGCTACTTCAAAGCCAAATTTCAACTAAAATAAAGACATGTTCTCCCCGAATTTAATATTATTAAGTACACGTCCAATTTGATTTATTCCAAAGGCTTCATTAACTGCCTTTGAAATACATACACTATGGCAATGCCAAACATAAGTATCGACAAGATGTAGGACCATAAGTGTTTATACCTAGATAGTAATGCATGTTTACTTATGTATTAAATCCTTAAAAATAAAATTCATGTAAGTACTGATAAAGACAACATTCAAAGATCTTACTACAATGCTAAATTTGATAACGTTTACGATTGAGTTTATTTTAAGGATCGATAAGATTATATCGATCGTATCTCACTTTCCTAGCTCTAAAACCAAAATCACCGTCAATATTAGGGTGTGCTATCCCGTTTGTAATAAGACTTCTATAGATACATCTAAAAAATTAAACCAACACGTTAAATAATTTCATGCGTTCGAAGCGCTTTTCTTGATTTACCTTCACCAGGAACGCTCAAAGCCGAATATTTGAAAGCCGAGGATGTATAAGAACCGAAACAGTTGAAGAGCTATATGACAAAAAAATACCTGAAAAATAGCCAAATCCATCTAAGGTCAACTTTGCCTGAGGGAGTTGAAACCTTAGTTTCTTTATAATTTCAAAATTTTAAACGGAAAATTTTAGAAAGGTTTGTTATAAATCATGTCAGTACCGAAGTACTGACTACTGAGCTGGTGATACCATCGGGAACTAACCTTTCAAATAAAATCTTTGTATATATGAAAGAAACTCATATAACAACTAGTAATTTGTGGTAACGACATTCCTTTCATTATAATTTATCAGTTATACATATATTACAACCATTGAAATCAAAAACGTCATAAGGAACGAGTTGGAAAATACACATACCATGAGATGGAGGCCGCAAAGGAACTTCACCGTACACAAATAAGCATCAGGGAATGAAAATCATCTTTTGTGTCGTACATGTTAGTCTTTGTATAAAATTTCTCGTGTAAAACGCAAATATCACAATTAAGAAAAAGGTTAATTAATGCTATAAGATTCATCTATAGTTAGTTCGAGAGGTAAATTACACAATAGAATTTAGTCTGATCACCTACTTTTTTCCGATCTTCCAAATTTAAAGAATACAAAAATCATGGACCCTAATTGAAACCCTCATGAAAGTGAAGACTACATATCTGTTTTTCAGTACCAGATGATCACAAACAAAGTTTTACAAGGTGCTATAGCTGTGAAGACATCAGAGATCCTAAAAAATGTCACCACATTACAGATTGTCCTCCGAATGAGGTAAACACATTTTCTAATTTTGAATTGGTTAAAAACAATTAAGGAAATCCTTATTTTGTTGAAAATCATCACAGTGTTTGCTTGTCATAATTGGCTAAAAGATAACAATATTGTCACTAAATGTTACATTTGTTTGCAGTAGTACAAAAGAGAGGATCAGGGTTTTGTGAAAATGGACGTTCTTATTCCATTCCTGGTATGATCAAGTGTTTACTAATCTTCAGTAAATTTTCAATTTCTTTATTCATACGTTTCCTATCGAATATTAAAATAGTTCACTCTATGCGGACTTCTGTGACAGGGATGTGCCCCTTACACAAAATCTACTCCATTAGAGTTATCAGGAAGAACGAGTGAAATCGACACTTCATAAGTTTTACGATTCCATCACGAATTGGTTGACCGGTACGATTTTTCGGTGTCTCAACTTACTAGCGACATGTTTTTGGACAATAAATTCGTCTGATCTGTAACGTTACCGATTGTCTTATCCCGGTTATGACATTTCGATCACGTGATACTTCGCTTTGCGGGCGATGCATGCATAGCGGAAGGCGCTTACCCTGTGGACCCTCCGGTATCGGTCTTTTAAGTTCATGCCATTCCCTCGGTTTTTGTTTGTTACCTTGATTTGTCTTTTCCTGATCTATTTATGAGATTTGAACATCGGTCAATTATTATCGCCTTAATTTGATTTGTCCAATCATTAACACTGAACTTATTTTTGAAACAACTTTATACAACCCTTTCGAAATTTACAAATACATTTCTCATGCCGCGTCAAGGCCAAGCAATATCTTACTTGTGAGAGTTGTGTAACACCATAACAAAAGAACACACTGTAAAATCAGTTGAAAATGGCTTAATTCAATAGATTGGTACCAACTCTGTCAGACAAAATCTTTAAAAAAGACATAAGTGAATTTGGCAATGTCTTTTGGGTCCCTTTTGAAGTAGCTCATAATATTTCTACGTATTTGTATATCCCTTGCTTTTGCTTGAATGCTGTTAAAAAATTTCAGGTATTTTTGTTATTTAATATAATGCCCGTCAAGGTTAGGCTTATTATAAATTGCAGGAAAATTAAGGCATTTTACAAAATGGCTTAGTAGAGAAAATGTCTGTAATATCTATGATGCCTACAAAATCTAATAAAAATTCAAAATATTACCCAACAATACTTATTGCCTTACCTTAATATCATGATTTTGATAAATTTTCCAGAGAATCTACTTTAATATCTAGTTATGAGAGAAAAAGACTGAAATCAACACTACATAAGTTTTAAGGTCAATATCGCTAATTGGTTGATCGATACCGTCTGTCTTACACAGACTATAGCGACATGTTTTTGAGGTCTTACATTTTTAGATACCAGAATAATCGTCCGATTTCAAAATGTTCCTGATTGTGACATTTTGAATGAGGATTGATGATGCATGAATGGCAAATGACGCTTACGTCAACGAATTTGGTCTCGCAACTTTTGGGGTTCATACAATTCCCTCCGTTTTTTTTTTTCGTTTTTTTTAAAATTTTTTTTTTACCTTGATATGTTTCTTTTTAATGTATTATGATATTTGAACATCGGTAAACTACAGTTTCCTCTAATTTAGACCTCCTTTTAGACTAGTGACACTTTAACATAATATTTTTATATAGTGACGAAAGAATTTTGGAACCGTCCATTTCGAAATACGGACTATGTGATATCAATTAAAACCGGGAAGTATACGTAATTGGATTATACTTCGTATTTTTAGTTAATTTTTCTGTTGCATCGTATTTATTGAATATCAAAAACATGACACGTGTCATTATTTCAAATATTTAAGGAATAACTGTAATATTTTTTCTGTCTATGAAGAAATAACATCAAAAATGTGATGCACACTGAATAACCCGCGTAGCGGGTTATTTTAAAGTGTGCATCACATTTTTTATGTTATTTCGAATAGACAGATAAAATATTACAGTTATTTCTTATAATTTAATTCTAAATTCCATTTTAAACCGGAGTAAACAATGAAAAAACGTTGATGACGTCACGGTCACATGACTAAATTATGTCTATGAGCTGATAAACAAAACAACGTCAGCCAATCAGCAGACGCGTTACATCCAAAATTAAATTATATACTTTTATTATATAATTTTATATTTAATTTGCCTCCGATTACTAGTATTTAAATACAAACAATTTATCTGTTCGTATTGCTGAAAGTTCATTCAAAAGGTAGTTTTTTCTACTGTTATATACTTTGCATATGCTTTATACTGCGGATTCGTTTGGGGATTTTAGTATGTGAACAAAGAAATTAAACACAATGAACACGCATTGTTTTTAATTGAACTTCAAGGTCAAACACTAAATTAAGATGTATCTAAACAATAAATTGTTTTGTGAAATCTTAAAAATGAAAATGAGTGAATCTCAAGTAAGATGACAAGTATTGATATTTAAAAATGAACAAGAATCTGATTTTAATGATATGGCTAATAAAAAATATATATTTCTTTTTATCCAGATATGCATTGTAGAAGCACAAGCTTTAGTCAATCCTGAAGCATATATTCGATATGATCTAGGCTGTAAACAAAAGACGGTAATTGACCTATTAATACTTTTCTGGATTAAAAAAAAGAGAATATATGTTCGTATCTTAATATAAATCTATTATCCAATTCATATCGTTGAAAGTGTATCCTATATTTGCCAAAATTTGAAACATATATCACAAAATAATGACAATAAAATTGCCCTTAACAGAACAGCATTAATTATTTCTGGGTACCTTAACGTCAAGGTGTTGCAATCTTGTGTTTAGTACAGTTACAATATCTTAATTTAACAAGAAAATGAAAATGAATCAGCTACATCATGTTAGAAACGAAGCACTAGCTACTGACAGATGGTATTTCCTAGAAATTTACAGTTAACTAGTAGTTGCACTAATTCAGAATCGGAATTATTTCAATCAACACAGCACGCATTTCTGACTTGCAACCTTAATTTAAGAACATTTATTGAATTTTAGGCGGAACGTTTTTAAGTTAACTACATTTTTTCAGAAATATATATAGAAAAGATCAATGAAATTGTTATCCGAAAGCGCTGGCTTGGAATGGAACTTAGTTAAAGCGGCAACTAGATTCTTATTTGAAAGCTTTCAGATACGCAAATCAATGTAATTTAAAATAACAAGAATGTTGGTATTGTGATTTAAATATATAACATGCTTCATTTGATCCTTTCAGTATTGCAAACAGCTGCCAACTCTTCAAAAACGACAAGTTCAGTTAGCATCTAAGTGCTGCAACACCACATTGTGTAATGATCATTACAAAGGTAATATCGTAGAATTCATTATAAGCTTTTATCTTCAGTTATATTTTCATTTGTTCAATCAGTAAGTTCAATAACTCCAAATTTGGCACCTATTTCCAGCTTAAATTTAAAATTAAGTATCATGGCTATTACAATGAAAACATTGTTTTATGTTAACAAAGTTAAAACAATGTCTAGATAGTTTTGTTTTTTTTATTAACGTATCCGCATTATTTTTATGGCGACAATAATAGCATAAATTTTATTTTCAACTACATTCAGTGTAAACAAGTTGACTGATATTTAGGAACATATACCGCATGCGACTACACAAAATGTGTTTTAATATTTGCTTGTTATAAACTAACCAATCTGACTTCCTTATTTAGTATGAGTTTGTTTTATGTTTCACAAGCCTAAATGTAATTAAATCAAGAATATCTTGTCAGTTTTTTCTAAAATCTCTACTGTTGGCCTATTTCGTGTTTTACTTTAAACGCTTTATAGGAAAAGCTCGACAAAACCATTTATCAGTTTGCCAATATCATTGTTTAAGTTATAATAAGAATACAATGTGGTCGAAGGGTTAAAGTGTATCATAAAAAAAAGCTGATGTGGTATGATTGCCAATGAAACAACTTTCCACCAGAGATTAAATGACATAGAATTTAACAACTATAGATCACCGTACGGCTTTCAGCAATGAGCAAAACCCTTACCGCATAGTCAGCTTATATGTTCTTATATGTGTTTCACTGCTGTTCTCGTACTATGAACAACACATTTATTTATTTTGTAAAAAATATCTCCGTACTACTTCTTACAACAAAATTATTATATTTAAATTTACCTGTGTACGTTATTTTATTTAACGCCATTTTGTCCAGGTTATAGTTGTCTTTTTGACATTGTGTCATAGATCAAATTTATTCGTTCAGTGTATGTTTACTTGTTTTTGTTAATATGTAAAAAAATATCTCCGTACTACTTCTTACAACAAAATTATTATATTTGTATTTACCTGTGTATGTTGTTTTATTTAACGCCGTTTTGTCCCATCTTTTTTTTATTACTACCCGCAACGTCTATGTTATATAGACACCTACGTTTTAATATTGTATTTATATTGTGTCATAAATCAAAATTATTCGCTCAGTGTATGTTTACTTGTTTTTGTTTAAATGTCTTTTTGATTGAGTTAAGCAATTTCAATTGATATTTTATAGTGTGTCTTTTTTCATGTTGTAATGCTACAATACTGTCTCAGGTTAGGGTGAAGGTTGGCGCCGTTTAAACCCGCTGCATTTTCATGCACCTGTCCTTAGTCAGGAGCCTGTGGTTCAGTGGTTGTCGTTTGTTGGTGTGGTTCATAGGTGTTTCTCGTTTCTCGTTTTTATATAGATTAGACCGTTGGTTTTCCTGTTTGAATTGTTTTACACTAGTCCATTTGGGGCACTTTATAGCTTGCTGTTCGGTGTGAGCCAAGGCTCCGTGTTGAAGGCCGTACTTTGACCTATAACTGTTTACTTTTTACACATTGTGACTTGGATGGAGAGTTGTCTCATTGGCACTCGTACCACATCTTCTTATTTATATTGTGTTCTTTTTTTTTCAAACGATTGATAATATTAACTTGAACTTTTTGGTACACATCGAAATAATTATTTTGCTAGTATAAAGCGATAAAAAAAAAACATCAGAGTTATTCTGATGCGCCATATACGCATTTAAAACAAATTCCATGTCAATGTTCATTTTCTGTATGTAATTAGATTATCTAGAGGTATTACCGTAATAGTGTGGACAACCGTAACTTACTTTTGTTGTTAATAATACTGAATCATTTACCTTTAACGTGTTTGTCATCGGCTATTGATAACAATGATTTTACGCTCACTCAGTCTGTCAGAAAAACTTTAAGACGATGGGATCAATTCACAAAATATCTTAAGAGAAAAAAATACTCCCACGTTGTGATCATTTAAGAGTACCCTAAACATTTATTCAATGCATAGGATTTGTTTGTGAAAAGAGTTCCGGACGATGAAAACAAAATCAATTTTTTAACTGGATATTTTTTCACATGGATCATCGTTTGAATCATTCAGTCATACAGAGAACTCATATGATGAGTTTGCCTTGGATATTCCAGTACTACACAGCTCAATTGCCTCTATTTATGTATAAAGATATAGCAAGATGTGGTATGAGTGCCAATAAGACAACTCTCCATCCAAGTAACAATTTATAAAAGTAAACCATTATATATCTATATGTATATCTAATAATTTAAAAGACTTTTCTGTTTGTTTAATGCTTTTATGTAAAGGGGAAACTGTTACACGTGTGTGTGATCCTTTTTGTCTCTTTGACCACAGATCGTTAGTCATAAACTAAATTGCAATACTCGCCGATATATCATTCTTATATCTCACAAATTTGGGTCTTTTACTTACAAAACTTATTTTCTTGTAACTGAGTTAAACTAACAGCAGAAGAAAGAAAAGGGAAAGCGTTTTCATGGTTTACTTAATCTCGAAGTCACAATGTGGTCTTTGAAAAAATGTTGTAAATAAAAAAAAATTTGAATGTTTATATTGGAAAAAGTAACGTTGTGTAAATTATAACAATTATTTCAATTTCAATCCATATTAAGCTGTTGCTTTTTTCCGCTTCGAGCAAACTTTGACCACATTTTAAAAATTTATTTCCTGCATGATGCATATATTATGTGCACATTTTCATTGCGATCTTAAAAAGGACGAAGTTGATATATAAATTGTGTGTGTGAAGGTTGGGCCGTTTAAAAAAAATGAATTGATTCTAAAAAAAATTGGAATGGGAAAAAAAATACTTTGTTTCATAAAAAAGAGGAAATAAAATTATTTGATTTAAATTCAAAATTAGGGACGAAAAAAAATACGACATTAAGATTAAAAAAAGTAATGTTCATGCATGAGCATGAGGGAAAAAAAACCAATCCCCCGTCACAAAAAAAAAAAAACAAAACAAAAAAAACACCAACACACACACACTCAGAATTCTGCTACCAAAAACCCTTGGGTTTTTCACAAGTATAGTAATTAGCAGAAAAGTTCCAGTTTCCAAACTATACATTTTACCTACTAGTATTTCGTGAAGTAAATGCAAATTCCATAAGGCTTGGTCCAAATAGCTTTTTACTGTCCAATATCTTGCAAGTACGAAAAAGACCGTACGAAAGTATATTTTGTCTATGTTTTTTACACAAGATAAAAGTTAAACGATACTAAGTGAAAAAATTAAACAACCGTAATGGGTTAATCGCTTTGACGTCCGAAAAAGATAATATCCAACACATACATTGTAACTTTTAAAGCTAGTTAAATTAATTCTTATGTTTAAAGAACCTGCGATATCATAAAAATTGTTTATCAAAACATAACAAAAACGCAAGTAAAGAACGTTTAAGTATTCAATATTAATCAAAACACAAAGGTTATTCCTGTACTAATTTTTCGAATTATTCGATTTAGGCGTTGAGAACCTTTGGTGACCCCACAGTTTAAATGTCAAAAATAAATACGACGTGATACGTGGGCGTTACAGACGAACGTTCACCTAATTTAACCCAGTAAGTTGGAGACTTGAGCGAGCCAAAAAATGGTCTCGTCCACACTGTTATGAAAACGATACTATATATTACTTTCTTCATCAATTACATTATAAAATAATTAAATTACTTAACATAATAAATGTGAAAGAAATGATAATGGAGATATATTGTTGTTTAATATTATTTTGTGTTCATTTTTGGCGTAAATATCTACAACAAAATGTCATTGTCAGTCATACTACATCTCCTTATTTTTGTACAGTTTTTGTATTCTTATGAAGCAGAATCTATTACAAAACCTTGTCAAAGACAAGAAGAAAAAAATAGCTTGTAAAAACTCATTAAAGAAAACAAGATTAAAATTAATACGCAAAGTTCGCTAATTTGAGATATATTGATAACGTTCTGGGGCCTGGTTTTTGAACGTATCTTATGACTAAGACATGTCTTACGATGGTCTTACACGTGTCATAGTCGTAAGACATGTTTTCGAAAGTGTCCCAAGTTACGATATGGCATAACTTTTATCGTAAACTTAAGACACCTCGTGCAATGACTTATGATGGTCTCTCAATATCCAACATTTTAGCGAATGCTTGCATCTCATATATCCCGGTGATCTTAATGCAGAAGATATTTCTGAAAACATATAAATTGACTCGGATGGACAACTTCAAGCTATGATATGGAAAAACGTGGGGATTTCAATTTTCCATTTGCAGCTTCCCATTTTCAGAAGTAACATACTCTCCCTCACATCGTAAAGCGTTTACATATTCAGATTCATTTGTTGATCGAGTCTGAAAAGAATGCATTGCAGAAGAAGCTCAGTATCCTGTCGATACATCCCTTCTTGTTCCTTTTGGAGTTGATGCAATTCCCTCTTTTATATCAACTTGATATTTATACTATTAAATGAGAAGACCTCATTTTGTGTGTCGCTTCTCTTCCTTCTACAATGAATTAATCACCATGCCTCTGTGTTCTATAGGTAACATACATAGTCGCATTTGTCACCCTCGCTCATGATTATTCCGTTTGGGTTATTTTGGGAGGAAAACGAAAATAGAGTCTCTATATAATATATCAGTGACCGTCGTAAACTTGGAATTGATAATAAATAGAAAATACACTTTATTTATAGTATATGTATGTTCATAGTATACAGAAAAACGCGAAAATGATTGAAATTAATAGAAAACAAAAAATAACGGATTTTGGAAAAAAGGGGGAGGGCAAAAAAAAATTGTCCTGTCCCCAAGTACCTATGACTTTTGATACCGTTCCTGAAATTCTCCAGTTATAAATCTTTTACAAAAAATCATCATACAACAGTTTACATACTTTCAACCACGCTATAAATGCCTGCGATTTCGCGGGTATGTTCTAGTTTATATTTAAAACAGATTTTCGAGATTTGAAAACCTTCAATAACTGTTGCCCCTAATTCAATAGCTCAAAATTTCCTCCACCTTATAGAATAAATCAACTGTATAAAACCCTGCAAGTAAACATGTTCTCAATTTATTTCTATTCATTTTTTTTTTCATTTTTTTTTTCAATTATTTGTTATGTATTTTACTTTAGAGAATAAAATCAATGTATGGACAAATAAAAGGAATATACAAAGATCGTATAATATTGTAAAATAAAAAAAAATTAAAGTTAATTCCAAGGAACAATAAGTTAATGTGAGTCGTATCTTATTTTAAGAGCTCTATTAACTACATTACTGTAAAAAATAGGATCTTGTATCCCGTAAAGTATTTTGATTACTTATGCTAATTTCATTTTATTCATTTATATATCTATTTTTTATTTTTCAGATGAAGACAAAAATCACACAATTGTTCGACCAGCAGGTTTTACTTGTCGTAAGTAAATTTAGGAAAGAAAAAGGGATAAAAGGCAAAAAATATGATTTCAGTGCGCACAACAAATACGCTGTTATCAAAGTAAAACAATGTGGGTTTTTTTCTGCGTTTGATAGATATATTTCGATATATCGTTGTTAAGGATTCACAGCATCAAAGGTTGAAAGATAAAGATGTATAAATACATGGGGAACAAATTGACCTGATTGGAAATGAAAGGAATACACGAAACCATCTGTGATTAAGATGTATGGTGGTTATGCAACCTTAGATTTCGTAAAATGTGCTAAGTTCGTCGGGTTAGAACTACGAAACACACAACATAGAAACTTACAAAAATTGAACAATACGAGCCCGAGCAAAAACTGGGGGTGAACTCATACACTGCAGAAGAGTGTGTTAAATAAAATAAATAAATACATGATCTTTATTTTAAGAGGATAATCCCAATAGTTGAAACTAATCTTCCTGAGAGTCTTCAAAATAATAATAACATATAGATAAAGTACATACAATAGTATAATGATATATACACAATATACAATTTTATATAGATATTAATGAAAAAGCATATTAATCTTCCTTCTTCATGAAAAAATTGTAACATTTTGCTTTAAAAGATACAAGTGTATTAGTCATCTTTATTTCATTTGGTAAACTGTTCCATATTTGAGAACCAGAATATATAAAAATGTTTTTGGCTTAGGAACTTTCAATAGTTTTTCATCAGGTGAACGTGAATCATAATTTTGATGATCTGTAAAATGAAAGTTTTCTCGTTAATATTTAGGAACCAATGTCCGTTAATGATTTAAATAAAAGTATTGCCTTTTGATATTGAATTCGTTTTTCCACATTCAACCAATTTAAACTATTAAACAATAAAAAAGAGGATGTCATTATGTCAGCTTCTACTATAACTCAAGCAGATTTCTATAATAACTTATTAAGTTTATTTATTCCACTTTCATTACAACCACTCCATATATTGCAATCATAATAAAAAAAAATGGCAGAATATGAGCATTAAAATAAATAATTTTATGTATATGCATAGGTAAATAATTTCGTATCTTTTGTCAATAAGTTGATTCTATTTGATATTGTACATGCTATTTTATCTATTTGCTCATTCCAATTTATATTATTGTAATTATTAAGTTTTTTTTGGCATTAAGTTTCATGCAATTTTCCGAACACCAGTTTTCAATAATATAAAGTTAGAATTAAACTCATGTACATTATTATATTTACCGTGTAAAGTGGAACCATCTGCATATAAATCTATCAATTCATTTCTATGTTCAGTTGTAAATCATTGTTGTATAGAATAAATAACAGAGATTTAAGGATATAACCTTGTGGTACGCAAGTTTTTGACATAATTGACCTTAACTTGTTGAATTTGTTCAAACAAGTATGACTTAAACACGTCTAGCGTACAGTTTGAAACATTATAATATTCAAGTTTTTTCAATAAAACTATATGATTAACTAGATCTAAAGCTTTCTTTAAATCTAAAAATATAACTCTTTGTATCTCTACATTATCTATATTTGTCAACCATTCATCTACTAAATTAGTAAGTGCAGTAGTGCACAAATATTTAGGTCTGAAGCCTGACTGTGTAGAAAAAAGAAGGTCTTTACTCTTTAAATATATATACAAACTATCAGTCATATGTCGTTCTACGATTTTGGAGAGACAAGGCAAAACTGCTATTGGTCGATATATAATAAGGATTACAAGCATCGCCACTTTTAAAAATTGGGCAAACTCTTGCAGTTTTAAAAATACTAGGAAATTTATCACATTTGTTTTAGACTTGTCAAGTTTTTTTTACATTTTCACATCTAAAATACTCATTTCTGGTCTTATGAATTTTTCACTGCCCCTTTGTAACTTTGTAACCGTTCAGGAGTAGGTATTTTTTTCAATTTTCTTTTGGATGGTAGGTTCTTGTTGTTACGTCTTGCACGGGGAAAAACGGCAATTCGAACACGGAATCATTAAAACATAATAATTAATGTATTAAACCTCATTTTATTAATTTGATTCCATTGATGAATCAAGAATGTTTACCGTTTAATATCAAGTAATATAAATTTGGTTTTGTCTTATGTGTGCATCAAGAAAGGTGAAAAATAGACCGAATACCGCGCGTAAAGTCTATGCGGTATGGGTTTAACTCATTGTTGAAGGTCGAAAGGCGACCTATAGTTGTTTTAAACTTCTATGTCATCTGGTCTATGGTGGAGAGTTGTCTTATTGGCAATCATACCACATCTTCTTTTTTTATAATAAACTAACGGAGAAGACCTAACTGCATATGTAATTCCTTTGTTTCAAAGGAGTAGGCCCGGTAAGACCCCCTTTTGGCCCCAAAATATAGCATTTAACATTTTTTTTTTTAAATTTAAACTTTTAGCTATTTATTGGAAAGAAGAATATTTCTGTTATATAAATATTGGCTGTTTTTGACAATGCAATGCACATGCATCAGGTACTAGCATCATTGATCATGCAAAATTATTGAAATCTTCACGATTTTAGAATTTTTGCTAATTTTTAGACGATTTTTGTCCAAAACGGAAGTGGCCGCACTCGTGTTCAGTCTTAATATTTAAATATATGTTGTATTTGATGATGATACATAACATATATGAAGGTTGAGTCTGAACACGAATGCGGCCACTTACATTTTAGACAAAAACCATATGAAAAGTGACGTTTTGTGGCATATTTGATAGATTTTTTATATTTAAGTTTGAATTTAGGTGTCTTTAATGACCACACAATTTTTTTACATAAACTAATTGAATCGATTGAAGACACTTAAGTGTTTAAAAAATGTAAAAAATCTTTCATCAGATGTTCTTCAAATTTTAGGCAAAAATAAGCCCTTACCGCAATTCTCCTTTAAGTGTGGTCAACATAGTCACTTAGAAACAATTTTTCTAGTACTCATTTGCAATCTGTATTCATGTTTATAATTCTAGATACTTATGTAAGGGTAGAAAAGTTATTTATTTTATACTGTTAACGGAGAAAAATGATTGATTGTACATGTATGTACTCTAAGAGATCTTCAGAATTTTATAGTATCCAAATCTAATTCACACCGCCCTTAGAATAGATTGATTCACATTTAATTCTGAAGCTCTATTCTGATTGCTGAAGCAAAAGTTGCTAATAATTTGATAAGTTGTTTTGTACAGCATTTTGCATACCAAGGAATACATCTTTATTCGTAAAGACACTTATGTAATTTGGATATTCAGAAGGGAAAAGGAACACAAAACGCCTTGATAACAATACTGAATAACCATCAACAAATCTTTTGATTTTAAATATATTGATACAGTTGTATTGATGATGTCCTTCCAATCACTAATCATTTTTCATTGAGACCTTATACAAATGTATAAAAAAGAAGATGTGGTATGATCGCCAATGAGACAACTCACCACAAGACACGACAATTAACAGCTATAGGTCACCGTACGGCCTTCAACAATGAGCAAAGCCCATACCGCATAGTCAGCTATGCATGTTATGTGAGCGTGAGTTTGAATATAACGCTATTACAGAGACAAAAAGGTCTGCTTTATATATTAATCTTTTCTTATAATTTATGATGACTGACAACTGAAGAAACGAAAATCTATGACAAACGGGAAAACTTAGTTTTCCTATTGTCAACTTTCAATTTTTAGTAGTACCATACCATCTGATGAAGCTATTACAGTTTTAACTTGTGACGTATCTCAGTTTATAAGATTTCCTAGAACTTGTTCTCATTATTACAATTTCACTAACATGGCTAAAACAACGACTACTATAGCAAAGTTAATTTTAATCCTGGTATCTATCATGAGTTTATTTACTAATGACTGATAATTTAATTATCACCACTCCTTCAGTTGCCTTATAAATAATTGGATCGTTACAGTTTCTCGAATCACAAAGGCTGTCAAAACTACAGCATAGCCATTAATATGTATGTGACATTGTAATCTGTTTGCCATGATTATGGCTTTGACATTTACAACTGGGTGCGACTCTAAAATTGTGTGACGGGTGACGCATGTATAATAGGACATGCTACCGTAAGTTGAATTAAAATTTGATAAATAAAGAGTCCTACTTTATACTAATGAATATCATAGTTTAATGGACACCATCATGATTTGGTTGGTTGTTTTGAAAAGTCTGTGTCAGTATCACGTTCCCCTTTTCTCAATAATGACATCATCGGATGCGATTTATCACCGAATTTTTACATGCGATGATCAACATGATCGATTCCTCTGCTTACCTATCCGGAGCACCTGATACCACCTTTTTTCTCTCTTTTTTTTGTGAGTTTCGTGTTGTTCTGTCTAGTTTTCTGTGTAATTTTTGTAGACTGTTGTTAGTCTTTCGTGGTTTTACTTTTTTGTCATGGTACTAACTGTTTTTCTTGAACATTTGTTTTTTTAAGAATCCACTTGTTTTCATCTGGCCTTTTCTATTCCAGAAAATCATAAATTAGGGATGCTGATTGTTCCCTTAAAACATATACCTTCTTACTTTAACATTTATTTGTTTGTTGTACAATAATGCACTTAAAAAAACAGTTTCCTTTTTCTGAATTAATGGCTAAATTGTGTTTGTTTTTCTGGTCTCTACTTTAAGTATTTGGCCAACATGGGCCTTTTAATTGTTAAAAAATAAAATGTATAAATCATATACCAAGTAATCATTAATTTACAGCACCGATTCCAATGACTTTCGCCCCAACAAAAATACCTCCGAGTACAACAACAAAACCTGCAACCACACTTCAACTAACGTCACATATCATGACCTCGAATACAACAACTACACCTTCAATTTCAACAACAATATCCGTAGCATCAACAATTACACCTACAGCATACACAATTGGACCTACAACTACAGAAACCACAACACCAACAGCTACGCTTACCAAAACAACACTTACAACAATTACGTCTAATACAATGCCTTCAACTGAACCTACCACAACACCTACAACTACACCAACTACAACGCCTACAACAACACCAACTACAACAACCACGCCTACAACAACCACGCCTACAACTACACCAACTACAACAACCATGCCGACAACCACGCCAACTACCACGCCTACAACTACACCAACTACAACCACTCCTACAACTACGCCTACTTCAACAACTACTCCCACCACAACAACTACTCCGACGACAACAACTATACCAACTACAACACCTACAACTACGCCCACTACTACAACTACTCCGACGACAACAACTGCGCCTACTACAACACATACCACTACACCTACAACTCCAGCAGAGCCGAGTACGTTTTGTGTTCATCTTTTTTCTTATGCTTTTCATTTGGTAAAAACTGTGATTTTCTTGTCGTGTAACACACCGAGGCACCCCGTGGTGTGTTATTCGACAATTGAATAATTGTTTTCTCCCTTTTGTGTGCTAATACAATTATTTTTTTAACTGAGATCAGAATTATATATTGTACTCCCCCACCCCATTATAAGTAAGTTTTATTCTATAGAAAATAGGAATAGATGGTCATTTGATTATTTGATAAAGTAAATGGTACATGTATATATAGATGTAAAAAGTCAAGAACTGGCACGAAGAAAGCACGAACTCGTGATACATGTACATGTAACACGAAAATCGAATATCCATAGGTAAAGTCTGATTTCCAATAAATGTGAAACAATAACATTTTCAAAATCCTACACACGAATGTGTTTTAAAAGTGTTATGAAAAGTTTTGCATCATTAAATTCATCTCACATAATGTCTCTTTATTGTAGCGATAAATTAACAAAACTTCACATTATTTGATTCGAAAGTTAAAATGTTCGTCAACGACGATTTTTGGTATTTTAGTCTAATAAAGGATTGTTTCTGCCTTAAACCTATCAAAGATGGAAAATTAAAAAGTAAAACCACAATAAGCAACAACACACGATAACTATCAAACGAATTAAATGTTTAAATAAATTATAGTTTGCATTTGAATCAGAGAAAATAATGACCCTACAAGGACATTATTATATGCCTTAAAGCAAATTTTATTGAAACTTTGTATCGTCCGGGTTGGTTCTTCAAAAGAAAGACCTATCGCTCTGTAAGAAAATTACTCCATATAAGTATATAAGCGTTAGTACATAAAGAGCAGTGAAAACTTTATTCTGGATAAGGCTTAGATTTCAGTGATAATTCGAAGATTTTTCCTAGAAAAAAAGTAATACCTAAAAAGTCAAGCAATAAATATACATTTGATTTTTTTCTGTTATTTTGCAGAATTTTTATCTTGTAAAATAATAATGATTTTGTTGACTTAGTTTAATAACTTGTTTGTATGCCTATCTTTTCAGTATCTTGTCATCTATGTCGTGGGCCTAAGTTTATATGTGAAAGGAGTCACGTGTCAAGTAAATGTGATGACCCAGCACAACAGTATTGTATCAATGATGTAGAAAACCTTAAAGATGGTAGCAGATATGTTACACGAAGGTAGGTTGAAATAATTATAATTCTTTCAAATAAACTTAACGATAGTAGATACTTACAAGATATTACGTTCATTTAATCTAGATGACAACTAGTGTATCCCATAACAGTGAAGGCAGCTAATTGCAATACTTAAGGATGATATTCGTACAATGCTGAACTTTTTAGATGACATTTGGTGTCTCATTGAGACTTTATTTAACTCTGTGTCCCTCTTGTGATTTCTTTGGAAGTTTGGTTCATTCTATCATGTCTAATATTGTCACAGACACTTGAAAAATGGAGGAAGTACTATTACATAGATTGTGTACGTGAATTGCTGCGCGTTTCATTATAGATATGGTCTTAACCCCATTTTTAGCAACGCATTTTAAAATCTGTTGGTTCGAGTTTTGTTTGTTTTTTTCAATCAGTTTAATCGCTATAGTCATTGTTAAAAATTTTATTTGAAGAAATCAAACATAAGCATTACAGATATGTCTCTAATCATTTCATTCAGTAAAGTAACATGAATAATTACACTTATAAAAGGCTGTTTAATATTTTAAAATTGGATGCTTTCTCAGATTAGTTTAATATATATGTTGGACTGACAGTCAGGACTCTACTTTGTCAAAATTATCTCCCCATTACGCCACCAATTTTTTTCAATCGAATCTAGGGATGACGCGCTGTCAATTTAGCTCTTGAAAACCGATAAATGTATCCACATAGCATCATTACGATCCGTATATGCCAGTTGTATTTAAAAAAAACAAATGTATCTACTATCTATCACGCATACCATAATCGACTGTTTTGTTAAAATTTGTCTTTAATTTAAAAGTTAACAAATATCTCGAAGCTCCATACTATAATCTAAGTGAAAACATGTATATAAGATGCATAAAGTCCAAAAATATGCACCTTCATTAAACTTTTAAAGCCCATAGAACACCAAACAGATGTAAACAATTCAAATATACCAACTTGGCCTTTTTTTACCTTCTCTAATAAAGAGTCACATTTCTATTGTTTAACTTCTACTGGATATCAGCCTGCTCAGATTCAATTCAATTCAAAGCTTTTTTAGAGTCGGTGTATATATCCAACATTACAAAGATAAGCTCGTTAGAGTAAAACTGACATAGATACTACACATAAATCGGTTTTAAAAACTCTTACGAACTTATACATGTTTGTTCGATCTCTAATCGACGTCCGTTCCTCAAAGCGTCGTCCAATCCGACCTAAATATAGAGTAAGATTCAAAATCGACAATTATTTGCGTCTCAATTCGACGTCCAGTTCTTGGCTAAAAAAAATATTTGCAACAAACAAAACAACAAGTTATTGAATATTTTTTCTTTACAACTTTATGATGGAGGTAAACAAAGTAATGGTATTAATTTTAGATTGACAAACTTGTATTTCATCTGGTACTTTGTCATTGCAATAACTCTACATTTTGTTGTCATTTAGTCTGGGGATTTTAATTATTTTTGCTTTTTAAACTATTGCCATGCCCCCAAGTAAGAAACCTCGTTAGTAGGTATCATATTTCTTTTTATTGTATCTTTTTAAGATGTGCCACAAGAGCAGAGTGTGAAAAAGACTGGATAACTGAAAGTGCAGATAGGAATGAATGCAAGAACTATAATGTCCTTAAATTACAGGATGCTCACTTTGAGTGTTCTTTCTGTTGCCAAGGAGATGACTGTAACCTTGAAACGGTTCCAGATAATTTGTATGGAAAATAGAATAAAAGTTTTGGGAATATTTGTGATTTGTATTTAAAATGTTTTTGGTTAGGTTCATGGTGTTAAATTCAAAATGTATAGATCATTATGAATAACATTATCAGGGGGATAAATTATGTAAACATGTCCCTCCCTCGGGGGATCAATAGCCCATCCGATTTTTCATTACTTTGTGGTGTAAAATTAAAGAATTGTAGAGGGTTAAGAAAAATTCAAAACCAACAATAGGTATTTAAAATGTTTTTTTTTTGTTTTATAATGTACCATTTCCACACCGAATTCCGCGGAGAGATCCGAATCCCGAGGAGCAATTAATGAAAAGTTTGTAACGGTGGGTAAATAAAATCTGTTTCCGATTGCCACAGATAATTCCTCCGTGGGAATCGGTTCCAGATTTTACTTATCCAACGTTACAAACTTTTCATTAATTGCTCCTCGGGATTCGGGTCTCTCCGCGGTTTCGGATCGGGATACCTGGTTGTGATTTCCAGTAAAGGAAACTGTTATTCAGTGTTATACTGCCTCATACTTTCAGATTTAGAGTGAAAAGTTGGTCACATTATAGCTAGCAACGACATTTAAAGGGGCATTAGCTACGAGATATAAAAAAAAATAAAATATGATTTGTTTTTGTTCAATCATTAATAAAAGTGAAATAGTGAAATAATAATTCGTTTTTATCAGCCAATTTGGTTCAATTTTGTCAAAATATGATAAGAAACATCGCTGGTGAATTATCCACTTGCAAGTTATTCATGTGACCTTCAATGTAACCCCTTAGGGGTTATGGGTTACGCATGTAGTCAGCTATTAAAAGGAAATTAATGTCAACATTGAAATTGAAACAAGGATGAACCATTTGGTTGACTGATTCGATCCACAAAAAATGATTCTTATACAGGTAAAAACGATGACAAACATACTTTTAACCTACAATATGAAATCAAACAGACTAAGAACAGAACACGTGCAATTGGATTTTTCTAGGTCTGTTTGATTTCATATTGTATGTTAAAAAAAAATATGTTAATCATCGTTGTTACCTGTATAAGAATGTGCTTTTGTGGATCAAATAAGTCAACCAAATAGTTTACCCTTGTTTCACTTCCAATGTTGACATTCTTTTCCTTTTAATATATGAACATGCCTAGTTTATAAGTAACCCATCTCTTGCTAAGGGGGTAAATTGAAGGTCACATAAATATGGATTCAATGAGGTCGAATTATTCACTTGCAAGTGAATAATTCATTAGCCATGTTTCTTAGCTTATTTGAACACAATTGAACCAAACTGGCTGGTAAATGCGAATTATTATTTCACTATTTCACGTTCATAAATGATTGAACAATATTTATTTAACTTCACAGTAACATTCCTGTCACATTTCAATAATTTCATTGATTTCTGATGGTAAAGTTTTGGAAAATTGGATCAGTGGACCCCATTTTTGCCCCCTTGAAGCTATTTTCATCAGGAGCAAAGTAACAAAAATGGGTAAACACCTTTTGGAAACCTCATTTTTCACCATGTTTGTTGTCGACTGGTCATGCTGCCGAGCTAAACTAAAAAGCAAGAATTTAGAAACTATTCATTTATCTTTTATACGTCCAGTCTTAGAATATGGTGATATTATCTGGGATAATATCCCTGATAATTTAAAAACATCTTTAGAAAACTTGCATCTAGAAGCAGCAAGTCGTTACAGGTGGTACCAAGATAACATCGAGACAGTTGTTGTACGATGAAACAGGTTGGGAAACTCTCCAGTCTTGGCGTAATAAACATAAGTTGTTAAAATTTCACCAAATGTTTCACAGATATTGTCCCGATTATCTTTCTGTATTAGTTCCAAATCAGAGGCTTGATCTACATGACTACAGGACTAGGGGGTCTTCAAATTTACAAACTATATTATGCAGAACAAGCTATTACCAGAAGTCATTTCTACCAGCCGTTATAAAGCTTTGCAATAATATTCCAGACGACATTCGTTTAAATTAATCAAAATCTGGTTTTAAGACGTATGTCTTTCAAAATATTAATAAAATCCCTTTGTATTTTCACCTGGGCTCTTGAAGAGAACAAATATGTTTAGCAAGACTCAGACTCCAGAGAAGTGTTCTAAAGGATCATCTATTAAAAAAAACTCTTATCGAAAACGCACTGTGTTCCTGTGGTCACGTAGAAACTACCTCTCATTACTTCTTCAAATGTCCAAAATATAATGAAATTCGAAAGGATACTATCGGAACAGTCTCTTGTAGTAACCTTAAGATTATCTTATATATGGGGACAGTTTAAAGTCTGATGAGGACAATAGACAAATATTTCATAACGTTTCTGAATATATAAATAAACAAAACGTTTTAAAAGTTGATCTTGTATAGGTTTTTATTATTTATATATATTGATTTCAAATCGAGTGGATTGCCCGTCATCGACTATAATCGGACATGTGTGGTGGTTCTAGTGACTGTCTATCAAGAAAGTAAAAGTTTACTGTTTCGTTGTTTTTTTTTATATAGATAACAAGATGTGGTATGAATGCCAATGAGACAACTATCCATCCAAGTCACAATGTGTAAAAAGTAAACAACTATAGGTCAAAGTACGGCCTTCCCCATTTCCATTCTCAATTTTATTCAACACGGAGCCTTGGCTCACACCGAACAACAAGCTATAAAGGGCCCCAAAATGACTAGTGTAAAACTGGATGTCATTTTTTCTGGAGAAGGGTTTATAAAAGTTTTTCCAAACTTGTCTCCGAATCCCATATTTGAATTTCATATAACATTGTACTACTTCATTGTTATAATTTGTCATTAATAAATACTGTTTAAACTAATCTGAAATTAGAACAGGTCTTGCAGCAATGTTTGTAGGCACCAAATTTATAACAGTCGGAGGGATCTTGTGAGGAATATAGTCGTCAAGATGGGTTCCATTGTGTTAAGTACTGGTTCTCAATGTGAAATGCCAGCAGACGGACGACGGACGCCAACTGGTGCAAAATCTCACATGTCATTTGGAAAAGTTAGCTTAAAAATGAAAATATAACATTTAGATTTTGCAGATTTTCACTATTCATACATAAAAATTGTAAACATAACTTACGAGTATGCTTGTGATTTATTTACTTGTCTCTGTTGTTGGGATTGTTAAAATTAAGCTACCTCTCAGTGCCGAAATTTTTGTTACTTGTTATTTCAGAGTATTATTTTGATTTGAGATTTAAGGAAATTTTCCACATGTTTTTTTTTCACTAAGTCGAATATGCTTGGATCAATATTCTTGAATTTGTTGTCCAGACTGATGGAAGTATACTAGCTTCCTTCTGATTCTGCAATGTTTTGTTTTGTCACTCCAGAGTTTTTGGATTTTAATTGTCAGTTTTACGACAATATTTTACCTTCCACATAATTTCTAGTATACATGCTTGGATTAATTTTTGAAAATTTTTCAGATTTTCTTTTCCAGAGCTGTGGGAATTAAACCATCAGCATTAAGGCAATTTTGAATATTTTTTTTCTCAACAATTTCAATGTGGCTTTATACAAAGGGTGTTTCTGATCCTCATGGCACAACTGTTTATAAAAAGCAGTTTATAAACACGTTGAATAGAAAGACATGCAATAGACTTTTCTTGTCACATCCTTTATAAACTTTAGCATTTTAGTCAAACTATGAACCACAAGGTTAGTCTGAACCAAATTTGACAAGGCAGTTCCATTGCTATCACATGGAAATTCTCAACTAAACTTGGTAGGAGTACTGCATTGAAAGATTCTGAATAAATTTTCATTTTAAATTTCTTCATAGACTGGACGTATATTACAATGTCTGTCTGTCCATCTGTTTCAAGTTTATAATTGATCTATAAACTGCAATTGTCTTAAATCTGCTAGTAAATGTAAAATTATTTGATATTTATTGTATTTAGATGTTTAGTGTTTAGATGATGCTATTTAACAAATTGTGATATACAAATCAGACGGGTAATAAACTAAGCTGTGTCTAATTAAAGAGCCGGTGTCACTCGGATCTATGTGAATTTTCGGCACTGAGGACTAAAATAATTCACAACTATGATCTCTTTTTGTTGATCTTAAATTGCTTCATATTACACTCTTTCAACATAAATTCAATCATGGTAAATTGAGCATGCTGTTAATAGTTTCTCTTTATCTTCTATGTTTGTTGCCCAAAACACAAACAAGGGTAATCAACTGTTAACGGAGATATGTCTATCCTTTATGCTTTAAATTATTTTGATAGTAAAATGCAAATATTGAAATTAAAATAGCAATACTTTTCATATGTAAATTATGCAAAATATTCAAAGTCAATGAACCATGACTAAGGGAAAAGGGCCAACCCATCTCCATGGAAATGAGATGTGCCAATGCTTATACAACTGAATACCAAATAGCATTGACATATCATAAGTGGCTCCCCTTTAACTGACCTAATCAAATCTTAACAAATTGTTCTGCCGCCATCAGAAACAGCAGACCTAAGTATCACTTATAGACTCTGTCAAGGGGAGACAAAAATTGTCTTTGTTAAGGCAATAACTCCCATCAAGAGTCAACTGATAATTAAGGCAATGTTAACTTCTTTGTAGATCTAGTCTTGTATATCATTTTGGCTGTTAAATGTTTTCTTTATCTACTAATGTTTTCGTCGAAAATGCAAAAATATATGTAAAATTATCATTTAAGGGCAATAACTCTAGTAAGGATACGACTAACAATTTCCGCTATGCTGACTTATTTATAGGTCTTGTCTTGCTGATAATTTTTGCTGTTTACAGTTTTTTTTATCTATTAAAGTTTTGACCAAAATGCAAAAAATAGGTTAAAATCATCATTATGGGGAAATAACCCCTAAAAGGGGTTGACCAAAGATTTCAGACATTTTGAAACTTGTTTAAATCTAGTTCTGTGAATCATTTTTTCTATTTGAAGTTCTCTCTATCAAATATTCTTTTTGAGATAATGAGCAATAACGAAATAAAT